ATTGTTTATTAGTTCTAAGTGTTTTTGTGGTTTTATTGCCAATTCTTTGGGATTTTCTACATAATCGTGTTATCTGTCAACAAAGATTGCTTTATTTCTTCCTTCCCAATCTTTTTAGTACATACTTTTATTTCCTTTTCTTGTCATATTGCATTAGCTAGGACTTTTGATATGAGGTTGAATAGGTGGTGAAAACGGACATTCTTGCCTTGCCAGAGGGGTAAAGCATCTAGAGCTTCACCATTAAGCATGATGTAAACTGTAGTGTTTTTGTAGTATTCTAAGTTGAAGGAGTTCCCCCTCTATTTCTTACGTGCTGAGAGTTTTTATTGAGAATGAGTATTGAATTTTCTCTAATACTTTTTCTGCATCTATTGATATGGTCATGTGAACTTTCTTCTTTAGCCTGTTGATGTTATGGGTTACATTAGTTGATTTCTGAATGTTAAATAAGTCTTGTATATCTAGGATAAGTCCCACTTGGTCACGTACATAATTCTTTTTGTACATTGTTGAATTCTATCTGCAATATTTTATTAAGGAATTTGGATCTATGTTCATGAGGATATTGGTTTGTAATCTTATATCTTTATCTGGTTGCGGTATTAGGGAAATGTTGACCTTATGGATTGGGAATTCTCTGTACTATCTGCTTAATTTGCCAGTGAATGTTTTTAAATAAAAACTATCAATTAAAAAAATTTACCTTGATTTAATCAGGAAACAGCTCCCTCTCTATGCAACATACCAGTGCACAACCAACTCAAGTTTGGAGAAACTGTGCTGTAGCTGCAGTGTTTGGCCACCAGCATGCACTGATGTTCCGGTTGTTACAGAGACTGTGCTAGGAACCTGGCATTTGTACTGCTTCTACACACCTCCTAGAACTTTCAGTTAGGTCAGAAAAATCACGAATGTCTGAAATGGGTTCACATTACCCAATCAAACTCCTTTGATACAATGAATATGTACCAATTGCTTTTGACAAGATGTTTTAAGTGTCTGGTACATGGTGATCTCAGCATTTTTAGCATGAATATCTTTATCATGTCAGTTTTTAGATCATAACAGGACACTGTTCTTTACCAAAGTGATAAATTGTTTCTAGCTACACTGGATTCAACAATAAAGAATGAATTTGCTCATTTTCTATTCAGAAAACAAGTTTTTAACAGAGCTCCTTTGTTATACCCATGACTTTATAGACCAAGAACTGAAATAAGATGATTCCTCCTCATTTCTCCAGTGCACAAGATATTTTCATCAGTGTTACTTTACCACTATTGTAATGTGAACAGGAATAATGTATCATCATACCTTTTGTTACATATTAAAAAAAAACAAAACATATGTATGCATTTTGCCACAGGAGGTAAAATAACTCATCCTAAGCTCTTTTTCTTTCTTTATTAAAAATGAAACAAAATCTAGTATAATCTCTAGGAAAGAAAATATTTTAGGAACTCTTACCAGAATGCCTGAGTCTCTACAGTGACCACTGCTGTGGGATGAGGAAAGATGGCAGATTCCCCCAAAATTGCTAGACCTCACGTGTCACAAAATACAGAAAAGGACTTGAGTTATTTGAGGGGGGGGGAAAGGAAGCACTAGGATGGAAGCAAGTTTATGAATAGAAATCAGTAATAAATCTAGAAGTGTTGGTAGAAAATTAAAGACAATACCAAAGACTAAGAAATAAATTGAAGGAAGTGTGTTTGCAGTGACAATTAAACTTGAAAGCTATATTAAGGAAGAAGATGGACTCTGTGCCGCGGACTTCCGCTCCTTACATTTATTTTCAGTGTCAAGGACTGGGTTAAGAGGCAGGAATAGAATATGCATCAGATAGGATTAAGAGTATTTTGTGGATTACAAAGAAGAAATGTGAGAGCACTCAGATATTAAATAGGAGAGGAGGAGGATGTTGAACCAATAGAACCATTCTGATCCATGTAGGTGTCTAGCGGAGACTACGCCGATGGGCATCTTCTTTAAACACCAACCATGTCAGCTATGATTTTGTCAAGAATTACGAGGTCATAATTACAAGGTTAAATTTCCACGCAAAAGCCTGCAGAGAAATATTCCGTGTAGCTAACAAGAAAGACCAAGTTCTTTTGGGTAGAAAACATGCCGGTAGTAAAACTGTTGTGGTATTTTAAACACTCGGATGGAGGGGGGCAGTTTTTAATGGGGATTTTTCTTAGAACTTCATGCAGTTCAGGAAAGATACCTTAAAACGGATACGGAGAGTAGCAGGCACCATACTAAGCACTACATCACGTGAGACGGTTTCTAATCTAACCACACGATTACGGTGCTTAACAGTACACCCGCTTATCGTCCAAATGATTCCTGCTACAAGTAACAGAACACCAGACCCAAGCTGGCTGAAGCATACAGGAAACCTATTCACTCAGGTAAGTAAAATCACTGAGGAGGGCTGGCTTCGCGGCGTCACCTATGTTGCCAGGGCTTGGACCCCGTCTCAGTCTGTGTGGCTTCCTGTGTGATCCTCTTGGTTCATGGGATGGCCCCCCAGCGCCCGCTCTCACGTTTGGGTGACACGAGAGCTGTCCCGGCTGCCGTTTCATGTCTCCTCTTGTTTCTACATCAGTAGGAAAAATTAAAAGAATTTTCCAGTTGCTCCCACAAAAATACTGAGTCCACCTGACTGGCCAGCTAGGTCATAGACCCATGCCAGCTACGTCACTGTGGCCAGGACACTGATTCTCTGACTAGCTCAGGCTGGTCATATGTTCCATCCTGGGACTGACGAATCCCCAGGGCTGTTGCTGAAGTGCTGGCAGATGCTGACCAGAGAAGTAGCAAATGTCCCCCTTACATAGAAAGGACCCATAGTGTCAGAAAACGAAGTAACTTGCCAAATCCAGACCCCTAAAAAGTCAGTCTAGATCTGAACTCGGGTCCACCTATCTAAACCCAAAGCCTCCCCACCCTGCCCTCCGCACAGTCCTAACACTCAGTCACGGAATACAAAACTCAGCATCACAGAGAGACCCCTACTTGTGCTCTAGACCCATCACCACTGAAACATAAATCAAGATTACAGTATTTGTTAGAAAAGCTTAAATAACTTAAAATTAACTTAATTATGAATTTAATTTGGCTTATCAAAAAAAATTAGCTTGTTTTTAGTGTTTTTTTAAAAACTTCCAAACAGGAGTGGCCGCTTAGAAAATTGAATTCTACTAAGAAAATAATTATTTGAAGTGGAGCTTCAAATTATCTTGTTTCACAGTAGAATACTATTTATTCCAAAGCCATGTCAAACATTGTAACTTTTAGGTCTTTTAGTGATCAATGACCAGTTTCTAATCAATTTAGTTGGTAACTTCTTTAGACCTGCTTTCAGAGAAGTAAAAAAAAAAAGGAAGGGACTATTTGCATTTTGTATGTTTTCTATATACTTTCAGCTGAACTTCATTTCAATAAAAGTCCAAAGTTTAACACAATTGAGTCACTGTTATTTTAAAAAAAAAAAAAAAAAAAAGAGGAACTTCTGATTTCTGCTTCCGGCCATGACGGAGTTTTAGGAACCAGATTTAAGCTCTTATCTCAAACAACTAAAAGATCAGACAAAATGTATGAAACAATGGTTCTGGGACACGTGACTCTCATCCTTAAGCAAAGGGAAACCAAGTGAGCCAGGAGTTTCCAGGCCACAACCAGAACAGGGCCAACAGTGGACCTGCAGACACAGAATTAAGAACTGCAGGAGGCCCCACAGGGCATCGACGAGGCCCTGGAGGAAGGGCCCGGGGTCTCCAGCCGGGTTGGTCTGCTGGCCGCAGCGTGTGGGGGACAGAGCCCCTGTCGGAGCTCACGCGAGCTCCCCTGGAAAGGGCCCAACAGTTTGCTCAGGTCGTGGGGACCCCGTGGCGCTCGAGAAAGTCAACCCACTGCTCCCACGTGACTCACTCTGAGCTTCACACACAAAGCTCAAAGTCACTCCAAGGAACATGAAAAATCCAGCACCCAGTAATATAAAATTTGCGACTGGCATCTAAATCCAAAATGGCCCGGCACCCAGAGAAGTAGGAGAACACAAAGAATGCAGGGAAGCAACCCGAAATGACAGCGGGTGCACGCAGTGCACCTGCAGGGGAGGAGACGCCCCGCAGGGCGGGCGCTGGAGGGCACGGCGACACAGGTCACCCGAAAGCAGAGGGAGACGAACTAGGAATGAACTGAGCGTCGGTGAGCGACAGGTGCACACGCATCAAGAACGGACCCATGTAACTGGGCGCACGGGACTGATATCTGAGCAAACATGGCTGAGAGCCTGTCAAACGTGCCGAAACCCCAGGTGCCCACAGCTCAGGGGAGTCCACCCAGGGCGCCGACGAGCACATGGCGAGCGTGCGCGCGCCGGACGTGCGCGGGGCGGGGCCGGCGAGCGTGCGCGCGGTGGAAGCGCCGAG